TCATGCCTATGACAAACGAATTTTCTTTTGGAAGTTCAATATTCTACAGACAAAATCTCACGTCGAAATTCTACTGCTTTTTATTTTTCAATATGTATTTTAAGTTGAGTCAAAAATTCAGTAAATTACTTCTAACTGAGTGCCAAGCCTCATGAAGGCAACCCTTTGGATGTTTTTTCTAGTCTTGCCGACACCTCCTTGTTATGTTAACTTTTTTTTGTTTTTATTCAGCAGTTACAAAATTCGCTAGTGCAATATCATTTTTTTCGTTTTCTTTTTGATACAAAATACATTTTAATCACAAGACAAAAAAAACTGAAAGGCAGTTACGAGTATGGTAATCCAAAGTATTCATTTATAGAGTTATACTTTCGTTGTGATAGTCGATTTTCCGAATCCAATGGTCTACCCTCTGGATAAAGCCATCTTTGCAAATCATCTTGTCGAGCTAAATATTCTAAAACATAAGCAGCTGCTTGTACCATCTTTTCATATGCAAATACATTTATATTTTGAATGGAATCACAAGCTTGATGATAACATGGATCATGAATAGTACCAGCAAAGCCACCCAATCCTTGACCAAGCATTTTATCATAATAATTACGTTCGTCAAGCGATTTCAAACCAGCTGCACCAGAAAATAATCCGCCAGCAACAATTCCTACAGCTAAAAATGGACCATGATCACTTAGACCACTAAAATCGGTATAATTCCATAGTAAATTTTGTCGAGTGAACCATTCACGATAGAGGTTTGTTACTTTATCAGTACCTGGAAGAGCATGAGCTGGTCTATTATTGTTTGCTGTTCGTGCATCATAAATACCAAACATGTAATTCGGTGAACCAAGCATATCATAATTAAGATTGATCAAATAGTCAATCAAACGTTCACCAACAACAGTTGAAATTCAGCTTGTTGGACATGAAAATCAGAACCAAGAAGACCAACTTCTTCAGCACCTCACCAACAAAATCGCACTCGGTATTTATATTTCTTATAAGTAGATGTTTCAAACAGACGAGCAAGAGCTACAGCTAAACCAAGATTTGCTACACTACCACTACCTGAAATATCAAAGATATGAGTAGAATTTTCAATATTTTAACTTACCATTATCGTTAATGCCTGGACTAGCCGGTACACTATCACTATGACCACCAATGACAATAGTTTGAGTAGCATCACCTGTTGGTGTATCAGCACAAATATTACCAACAGGATATCTTGATGCAAGCACTGCTCTATCAACAAAAGGACAGACACCTCTTTTGACTAATGCAACTTGACCGTTAGGAGAAGAATTTGCAGCAAGCCAATCATTATCAGAACAACCTTCATTTGGAATAACACTTATTGGAACATAATCAGCAAAATTAACTGATCTTGTATATTGAACAAAATAAAATTCTGCTATTGAAAGATTCGGTGAAAATATACGATTTACAGTTACACCATTAATAGATGTTATTAATATTGAATTGGAAGCAAGAATAAAATTTTTCACATAAAAATACTTTGTTGCTACTTTAAAATTTGTATGAAATGATAGATAGTTATTAATATAATCAAGTGTTTGATTAAAACCAATTGTATTAATAGCTCTATTACCACCTGTATTAGTTGCTATATTTTGTAATTCATTAAGATGTATCATTATATCAGAAATTTGAATCGATTCAGCATATTCAGAATCGAGAGATGGTCTATCTATTGGTTTGTCTTTTAATCGATTAACAACAACACCCAATGTAGCTGCAGCAAGAGCAAGAGTGACAAGTATAAGAATAATTCCAATACCAATACAAACTGATAGAGATTTAACACGTTTATTTAGTGATAATATCATATTGTTGTTATTTGCAGAAAGTCCTTCATTTGAAACTGGATTGTTATTCATGATGATGTCAATTAATTTTAGTTTACGGGCTCGAAATGAAAAGTGAAGCATAAATACGAGAAAATTATCAATAATATTTATAGAAGAAGATAACCTTTGGATTTTTGTCATATTTTCTTCTACGATATATGTAATATAATCATCTTACTTCAATTTTGAGTGTTTGTCAACAAGAATAATTTCTATAATTTAATCTATGCTCTACCGTAAAATAATTGAAATTCATTAATAGGAAAAAAATGACTCGTGTTATTTATGATGGTTGTTTACGACCATATAACAATTCATGTTGATGTTATCAGTAAGAATATAGTCTTATTATTTTGTTTTCAGATCAGATACAGATGCACTTGATTTTATTAATAGATAAATATAATCATCAATAAAATGTAAAAGAAGAAGGTAGCTGAACTGGTTATCTACATCATAAATAGGATTAAAAAAACTTATATTCTGCTTCAATGTAGGCGAGCAGAGCGAGTGTCCATTGAAATATTCTAATTTGTCTTCCGTTTTTAAAATGCAAAACTAAGAATTCTATATTTTGAAATCGTTTTTTTTATGCAGCACACAAGAGAATCTCAATATTAACCCTTTACCCCCCATAGCAGTTCCAGAAGAGCCGCTGATGAAATAACTTTATAAATAGAGTATTAGCCTGTTGAATATGCCAATGGTGTGGCCTAATGCGCCGAACGTCCTGTTCCTGGAATAGGGCGGTTTGATTGATGTAAAAATCATGTGGTGGAAAATGGGAATTGAACGACATCATAAGACTTAATTTTTTTTCTTTGACCATATTATTGACTGGACAGAAGCAGCATCTGTCTCGTACTGTTAAACTAATAGGAAAAATGCAACGAGCGAACCGATAAAAATTAACATCAAAGAATGCATGCTTTTTTTACACCTATTGTCAAATTTAAGCCTATTTTACTCTGAGCCATTTTGTAATGTCTGAAGGAATTTAATTCATCATAAATACTATTTCGGCTTCTTATGAGTTGAGGTCTATAACGCATATATTAACTTTGTTCTTGATTAGCCTCCATATGTCTAACAGTGACAACATGGTCAATTGTGTTTCTTAGGATGCCTAGCTCACGAAGTTAGCACGAAGCTATCGAAACACATCTAATTCAGCAGTGGACTTCTTCATCAATTACTATCACACAGAAATTCCAAAAGACCTCTATCGATTGCGAGTAGAGAACATCTTGTTTATGAAATTTCGAATTTTTGCATTTTTTTCAAAATTATCGATTTTGTAAGTCATATATCTCGAAGGTAGAGCAATGAAACAAAGTATTTTTTTTACTAATCGATAGCTTGTGGAGTTCCCTACAAATAATGTCTTGGGAGTTTTTCAGTCTCATGCTATCTTTATTTTCTCTGATTGTGTCTACAAATGGGTCATATATGACCCATTGGGGGGTAAAGGGTTAAGAATGAAGTAGGCATCAGCGCTTCGCGTGAGATGGGATAGGACGAAAAAAAACTGTCTCATGTGGAATGGAATATCCTGAAATTTTTCTGTTTCACGTGTAATGGGATTATTCCCAAATATCTTGTCCCACCGAAGGATGAGACGCAAAATTTTCCTTCCTTAAACTTTATTTTAAAGCCTTGCAAAGATTAGTTCGTAATTCCTAACCTATGAGTTCCACAAAAATTCTGAATCTATATTTGGAAAGAGCACAAAAATCTGATTCTAATTGAAGGTTTTAAAATTTTTGCAAGATTATTGATCAATCAAAATATGAAGGCATATTTTGTCTCCAAACTTTCGATCCTCTCACTATTACTAAATTTTACATCATTTCATTCTATATTTCATAATCTTATCATAACTAATTTCACATTTCGACAAGACAGACATCTATTTCGAAACAATTGTGTTGTCTTTATTAAAAAAAAAAGATTGTTGTAAAAGACGTTTGCCCCATTGGATCTTTGTTGCATCTCATGAGAAACAATGTTTTTGAAAGACTTGCATAGGACAGAATGGGATATTTCTCAAAAATTTTTTGTTTCATGAGATAGGATAATTCTGAAAATGTTCCGTTCCATCCCATCTCATGCGAAGCCCTGATAAGCATAGCAAAAGCAAAATCTGTCTTACAATTGTTCTATTAATGCCTTTATATAACATTTCTCTCGCATAATTTTGAAAACTATAGTAATATTCGTTTACATAAGATGATATTCCATGATGTTCAAAGTGCCAGTTAACTATGGTTCTTCTAGTTCAACTGTTTTTGTATTTTAATGCATGCATAATTTTAAACTCTTAGAAGAATACGTTAGATTTTAGTCGAAATCACGTCCCTTTATTAAATGTGAGTGCATTCAACTCGCGTGTACCAACTATATCGGCTGTTTTTTTTGCTTAGTTTTCGAGTTTCATTAATCATTAAAAATGGCGCCACCAAAATAGTTATTGTCTAGAAGATTTTGAGAAATAGGAAAAAGTGTAGTGTCATCGGGTACAATTTACTGTGGCATGTTAAAATTGACTATTTTTAGTTGAAATCGATCTCTTCAAGACGAAAAGTATTAATTTAATAAACAAATTACAAAAAAAATTGATGAAAAAAGGAGTAAAACATTCGAACTGTCAGTTGTTTTTTTTTATGAATCCCGACGAATCGTCGGTTTTAATCAAAATTTGACAATGTGGAAATAAAAGTTCACGAGTAAGGTAATCCAAAATATTCATTTATAGAATTATACTTTCGTTGTGATTGTTGATTTTTTACACCCAATGATCTACCTTCTGGATAAAGCCATTTTTGCAAATCATCTTGTCGAGCTAAATATTCTAAAACATAAGCAGCTGCTTGTACCATCTTTTCAAATGCAAATACATTTATATTTTGAATGGAATCACAAGCTCGATGATAGCATGGATCATGAATAGCACCCGCAATACCACCCAATCCTTGACCAAGCATTTTATCATAATAATTACGTTCGTCAAGCGATTTCATATCATCTGCACCAGAAAATAATCCACCAGCAACAATTCCTTTAGCTAAAAATGGACCATAATCACTTCGACCACTAAAGTCAGTGTTATTCCATGGTAAATTTTGTCGGATGAACCATTCACGATAGAGATTTGTTATTTTATGACTTCCTGGAAGAGCATGAGCTGGTGTATTATTGTTTGCTGTTCGTGCATCATATATACCAAACATGTAATTCGGTGAACCAAGCATATCATAATTAAGATT